ATATCGAAAAGAAAGAGAGGGGCTGGTGCCATCTCTCTTTCTCTCCTGGATTTTCTTCTCTACATCTTCTTCTCATGTATGCGCATCGTCGTCATATCGTCATTACGGACGATTTCTTTTGTTACGCGCTGTACATAGTACAAATAGTGTGGAGGCCTATATATTTAGGCGCTGTTTTTGTAGATTGAAGATTAACAAGCCATCATTCTCAAAATATAACACATAGAAACACTAGTAGATGGTAACGGCTACTAGTTACCTTCGAGCACAATCATGGCATAATGTTGAACATCATTTATTTTTTTCCTTTATTATTTTTTTCTTTTCATTCTTTTCTTCTCTACGTTACATATATAGTTCTTTTTTTCTTTTCTTATTCTCGTACTCACACTCGTCTCATATTTATTAAAGTACAATGTCGTGCTCATTTCTCTCGTCGTTATATATATATAACGAGGCAATTGATTGAAAAAAAATCATTTGGTTTTTTTTTCTCTTTTTTTTTGTTCATTTTACCTCGTTGTGTGATGCACATGATGAATATTCATTAAGATGTACACACATAAAACGTTTTAGATTTTAAACAAACTATATATGAGGTGATAATCTGTTAAAAGAAAATAACATGGCCACCGCCATATCGGTGAGAATACCAGCTGGTAAACTAGGTACAGTTCGTGTTGATCGAACTATCGATGTTTATCCAGCTTCAATAACAAATGATGAAAATAATTTTAATTCAAAATCTGCAACATCATGTATTCCAACAATGGCATCACATCGTCAATTGCCTAAAACAACTAGAACAGAAAGTCCAATACCATTTATTATTGATCATAATGAACAAGAACAACAAAATGAAGAACATTGTTATGTACCTATTACGAAATGGATTGATAATACAAATGGTAACAATAATAATAATAATAATAAAAATAATAATCTCGATGATGAACAAATGTCTGATATAGCAGTTATTTATTCATTAGTTCGACATGCATCAAAATGTCGAACATCATCACCACCAAAAATAATCGTTTCACCAACATCAACAAATAATAATAATATATCTCGTTCAAATATAAATAAAATTTGTACATTAGAAGCTCCATTGACACCTGTTGTAACTCATACATCGAAACAAGCACAAATAAAAACATTATCATCAACACGTTCAACTATTAATTCGATTCCAACATCAACATCAGTTTCAACTTCAACACCATCTTATTTAGATACAAGTCTATCACCACCAATACCATCATCAGTACGTATACAATCATCAACATCGTTTACATCACATGATCGACCAACAATACCAATTATTGCTATAAAACCTCGACCATATTCATTTCGAACATCGAATTATTCACAAAATGAAATATCAAAAATACAAACAAATACTAATAATAATGATACTAATACGTCTCAACCAGTACGTTCACGTCGTTCATTTCGAACAGCACCACGTAATGTTATTGAGCGACAAATATCAAATATAACAGGACGTGTATCACAATTACATGATTCATTTCTTGCGCGTCTATCAGATTTAACATCGAGTACAAGTAATCGTCATCGAAATCGTTCATTATCATCGATACATTCTCAAACAGTTAATACTAATAATGTAAATGAAACTGATCTACGTTTAATACAAAATACACGTCATCAACGACGGTCAGTTAAACCACGACCGAAATCGGAAACTTATGATGATCATCATCGTGTCAATGCAGGTAAATAATCTTGCATCATCATCATCATCATCATCATCAACATCATCAATGGGTATTAGTTATCGTTGTGCGCAAACCGTTCTTTTCCTTTCTTTTTCGCTTTCTTTTACATACACAATTAGTTAAGAACGTGATCATATTTCGTTCGATCATAGTTATGAACAATCTATGATAATAGTGATGATATGTTCTATATACATGTATGCGTGCGTATGATAGACAGACAGATATATGTACAAAGGCGAGAAAATGACATTTTGAGATGAAAAGAAATCGATGAATAGAATATTTGTGTTGTAGGCAAAAACAAGATATAAGATTATTGTTTGACCGTGAATAAGAAAAGATGATAAAGAGAAATGACATAGACATTATTTACTTGAACAAGGTTATCTGAATGAATATATTTGTCTACTACTGATAGGGACATTGAAAATTGATAATTAATTATGTCAATAGAAAATTAATTTACAAAAGAAAAAAAGAAAAAAAAAATCAATATTTTTTCTTTTTGATGATATCTTTTTCCTACTGCTGTTTGTTGATATTTTCTAAAGAAAAAAAACCTATCTATTCTCATATTACACATATTTCTAATCATATCTTAATAACGACGCTATGTTTTTTTTCACTTTCGACTTTATATTTTTTTCCATGGATTCTTTTCATGGAATAAGCATGTGATTGTGACATTCTTAGTATGGCTTTTGACATTCCGATGTTATCCTAACGGACATAGCGCGCCGTTTCTATGTTTGATGGATAATGCTTGTTGAATGTCTTGAAAAAGAAATGAGTGCTCTCTTTTCTTTTTTTTTTTTCCTTACATTACATACTCATCAATCTTTGTCATTCATATCATATCATATATGAAAAGAGAAATTCTTTCTTTAAAAAAACATCAACATAAAGTTTTGCTTTTTTTTTTTGAAATAATTGCTATAAACATAAAATGTCTTTGTCCTTGTCTACATCATATTCTTTCAATCCATCAACGATATCTTGTCGTTGTATATTATTATTATTATTATGATTATGATTATTATTATTATTATTATTTTTATTATTATTCTAACTTGTCGAGCGTTGTATAACGTATAAGCAAATGACGAGACTAATGACAATCAGACGAGTTGTTTGTTGTAGGATAGAAGAAAAATGAAAGATAACAGAATATATCCTACACATTGATGTAGTTGATACCATTGATATAGATATACCATTAAATGAATTTTAATAGAAATTCTCAAATTTTTGTTTTATCTTTAGCTGGTTCTTATGCTCAATTAACTCTTCTTGGTCAACCAAAAATAAATCCAACATCAACACAAAAAATAATTCCAGCTGATAATCAAAATGGTCGTGTATCGTTTCGAACAAATACTCAAACGATTTCCGTACCTGAACGTTCAAATAGTACAACAAGTACACATTCAATATCAATTACAGTTGATACAAAAAAACTCAAAGAAAATTGTGAACGAATTACGAAACAACTTGAAGTATGAGTTATTTGTTTTTTTTTGCTTTGAGTTTTTCGAACAAAAAAAAAAAACAATCTTGTTTTTTTGTTCTTAAAGAAATCAAAAGCAGATCTTGATCGACAACGAGCTAAAGGTCCAAGTCATAATCCGACAAAAGTAGCATTTATTGAAAATCAAATTCGACAATATGAACAACAATTAAATGAAATTAAACGACGTTTAGATCATGTGGAAGTAATACAAAACAAAAAAGAAAAATCTTTTAGTTCTTTTCCAGGGATGTGCAGTGTTAAAGTAAACACTGAATAATGAGTCACAGATACAAGGTCTTTCATGAGGCACCGATTACACTAGTGTTGATATTCATTGAAGCACTGGTATCCATGTTCGCTGCAGTATTGAGATACCCACTCAATCAAACTATGCCCTTTTTGCAGTGACGTGTGTCAGTGTGCCCTCATGTCAATATGTTCGTGGATTTAGTGTGTACTAACTTCACAGACGATGGAATTTTCTCAAATGTTTCCTTTCATTTTTCATGATGTTTTGCCTATAGGTACTACATAATGATCTAATAAAAAGCCTAAAATTATTTGAATTACTATTGAAATTTGATTGAGCTATTTGAATTTTAATCTAAAACTCTGCGCTTATGAAGAACTCAACTAGCCTAATTTCCATAAAAAATTCACAAGTTTTGAACAAAGTATCTTCGAGCTATGAAACTTTCCAAAAATACATGCTGTATACACTATCTATGAAAAAAGGGAAGTCTCATATTTTGAAGAGACGTTATTCAAAACTTGTGAATTTTTTTAAGAGAAACTAATCTAGTTGAGTTCTATATATACACACAGTTTCAGATCAGAATTCGACTTTTCTGAAAGCCTGGAACCTCTATAGACATACGGAAAATTCGATAGCTGAGTCAAATCTCAATAGGAATTTACGTCCTCTCAGGGTTTTTATTACATCACTATGTAGTATCTATAAGCAAGAAAATCATTGAAATCAGAAGAAGATATCTGAAGAGATTCCCTCGTGAGTTTGATGATCAGTAAACTGAAACTGCACATTCCTATTCTTTTCTCTTAAGAAAAATTTAATTAATTACTGGTTTTTTTTAATCTAGTCATCAATTGACGTTTCACCTGTTAAATCAAGTTTTAATGTTGAAAATCTTGGTAATCAACCAAATACATTTATTGAATCATCATCCAATCGAACATCAACTGTAAGTTGACAAAAAAAGCAACGCATTCGCTTTCTTCTTGTGTTTTTTTTGTCTTCTACTAACACTTCCGAAGTGTTTATACTTTCCTATTCCCCACATATATTTCTACAGCTATCAGATGGCATTAGTGATTGCAAGAAACAGAATACATTATCTGAATCAACAATTTTACAAATGATGACTGTGGCTATTCCGATAGTACCATCGACTACAGTCACTTCACCAATACAACAGTTAAAACGTAAATTACATTCTGGTAGATCTGAGAATTATGATTTAATAAAGGTAATCCGATATCTGGATACACCTAGGCTTATATAAGACATCACAACTAATAAAATTAAAAATACACAAAATTAAATAAATACATTCATTGCTTTAGCAAAAAAAAATCAAAAGAAATTTTGTATGTTTTTATATTAAATCTTTGCTTATTTTCATACGTACATTCATTCATCTACTATTGCTAGTTTAAAATAATTAAAGGAATGCTTTTTTAAGCTATTAATCTTTATTTTTATAGTGGTATATCAATAATCAAGTAAGCAATTTATTGTTGTTCTAACTCACTGTTTTATTATTTCTTTTTCTGCTTTGCTGTTAAACAAACATTGAATAATATTTTCATAATAATTATAATAGATTAATTGAATATGTTTTCTTTATTTAGCATGGAGATTCATCAAATACAATGCTTGCAACCGATGATAGACATACACATCGAGTATATGAATATTTCTATTTTGAATTATTTTATTTTATTTTTGTTCTTAGGATACAATCGATAATGATGATGAAGTTACTGAAGTAGATTTTCTATTTTTTTGAATAAGTAAAATTATGTTTTTCTTTAGATACAATCAAAAACATCGATATCATCGTTTGACGATATTCAACAATTTATAAATACATCTAATTGGGCACCATTAAGTGTTTTTCTTAATTTTCTTTTTACTGACCCAAACAGTGATCCTAGTTATTTGGTAAATATTCTAATTGAAAAATAAAAGTTTTTTTTTTTTTTATGAACTTTTGTTTTTTTTTGTTGATTTAGTTATTCTATATATTAACTGAAGAATTACGTATAAAAAAAGCAGAAAATCGAAGCGAATTAATACGATGGATATTTGAAATTCATTCCACATTCACTATGAATGGCAGCGTAAGTTTTCTTCAATAAAAAATAAATTTTTAATTTCATTTTAATGTTTGTCTTTTTCTTTTTTAGCCCTTGTATATTGGCCTTCCTCAATCACAAACAGATTCAATAAATCGATGTTTAGAAGCTCAACAACAAGAAACAAATGAAGATATTAAATTTATATTTAATGATGCAAAAGAATTTGCACGATCAATTATAAGCGATCGACAATTACCTGATTTTAATCATAAACGAACGCTCGGTAATTATATTTCCCACGGATGCGAAATAAAAAAGTTCAAATGCATTAGAATTATTTTAAATTTAAGTTAATATCACCGCAAAACACAATGAGAGTATCTCCGGAATAATGAAAACTAGTTGTCTGTGATTTTCAGCATTCGAAAGAGGAATGTAGGTGTAGTATAGCGAAATCGGAAGCATTAGGTTTACCGATAGTTAAGAAGTCTGTGGAAACCTGGCCTTAAGTTGGACTGTCATGTTAAAAAAATTTTCCATTGACCTTTTATCGGTGATATGCCTATTCGATAGATAAAATCGTCTTTTATGGTCTACACAGAGCTGGATTTTTTAGCTTGTTCCATACAAGAGTTAGACAAGACTTTTCAAGAGGTCCCCGACTTCGACCTATTGACCTTGGATTACCCTCGGAAAGGTCAAGGCTGGGAAAATTTACCACGTTACTATATCGAGCTTTTCAAAATTCAGTCACGACCAGTTCGAGACGGGGACAAGTACCTAGTTGAAAGTGGAAGCAAGAATGATACTCAAGGCGACATACCAGCTGATTGTGAGGATTTATTCTTCTGAGCTTATGACTCTCTTTTAGTATAGTTAATATGTATTGTATGCTATCAACAAATAAATCCCCCTAAAAAATAAACCCCGATAGTCCCTTCTTCATTTGCTATTAACTATTTAATTTGATTGATTTCATTGTGTACGTTCAATTTTAGGTGTTTTTCGTGATATTGATTTTCCATTCATATCAAAACAAAATCATTTCGTTGAAGAATTACTTCGATCGAAATTTGAATCATATTATAAAGCAAATATTGATGATTGGAACAGTACGAGAAATTCAAAAGAGTATGTTGAAATAAATTTTATTTTAAATAAATAAATAAATAAATAAATAAATATTATTTTCTTAAGTCTTGCATTAATATGTTCATTAGCTACATTTTTTAAACGTTGTGATATTAAAAAATGTGGAAACATTCCATTGGAAAAAATTCCAAAATTTCTCGATCGAGAACAAAGACGTTTATTATCAAAATTACCACGATCAACACAAGCTAAACGAGTAATTTTTCTTTTTCTTTTTTTTTGTAAATGTCAAATAACTTTTTTTTCTCCTTCGTCTTTAGATTAAAGATCATCAATTAAATGAACATCAATTTACAAGTCAAACATTATGTAAAGTTTGTTCAAAACCATTATGGGGAATTAATTATCAAGGGTATTTATGTGGATGTAAGTCAAATAAAAAAAAAAAAATCTTTGAAAATTTTTATTTTATTCTATTAAATAGATTGTCAACAATCATTTCATCGTGAATGTGCATTAATAAGTGAAAAATGTTCAAAAGATCGAAAAACAAATAGTATTACACATCCTGTTCAAATGAAACCACGAAAAACACCAAAACCTAATTCAAGTAAGTTTTTAATATTTTATTTTAAATAGAGTTGATTTCTTTTAATTAATTATTCAATAACAAAAAACAAACACTAAACTCTTTCAGAATCCCCATCACGTTCACTCTCAGAATCATTTTCAGCTGACAATCTCATACAACCATTATTTGGTGGTATGCCTTTTTCATGTATACAACAAAATATACGACAACAAGTTATTTCACCACAACGAATATTTATACGACGTTCTGTTGGTGGAAGTAATACATTATTTAACGGTATATTGTACAATTCATATTGTTCTTGTGTTTTGTGTTGTATAATATACAAAATCTTTAGTTCTATGTGTGATGTTTTTGTTTATCTGTATCAGACGATGAAGATGAATTTTTTTTATGAAGAGCCGGAATTTTGATTTAATATTTATTTGTTTAGGTCCAACAAGAACTGCAAGTTTAAATGAAGGACGAGCAGGAAGTATTCGTAAGTTTAATAGAAGATAATAGAATTGAATTTTTATAGAATAAGATTTGTTTTTTTTTTTGTTTTGTCTTCTAGCATATGATAATTATGAAAATGTGTCAGGTACAAATGAAGGAAATGGTAAGAAGAAATTTCTTGTTTTGTGTTTTGATAATTTAGAAATCAATTTTTTTTTTCGTAGATGTGATAAGTGCAAATTTATTATCTATACAAGAACAGAATAAAAATTCAAAGTACAAAAAAAAAAGTTTTTTTTAAGAATATATTAATTTCATATTCATTTATTTATTTTTCGATAGTTTGGGGCGACGTTTTAGTGATCGACAAGTAGCACCTAATCGACCAGCATCTAAACATCGTTCAAGCAGGTATATACAAATATAAATTTATTTTAATTAACACATATAAAATATGATTGATTTCAGTGAAAGCGACGATAGTGATGAGGGGTATTGAAATAATGCTCTTTTTTATTTGTTTCACCCTCATATCCTATTTTCATCACATTTTCATTGATTGCATGATACTCGTTATTAAGATCAAAGAGACAGAGAATAATAATTAAATTTAAAAATAAATTCACTACATCAATTTTTTGTTTAATTCATTCTGTCTAAACGCATGAGTTGTTAATTTTTATGATTCTAACAATAAAAATTTAACTGACAGAAATTTAATTTTATCCTCATATTGCTGATCAATCAGCATGTGCTTTTATTCTTATTATGTGTACTAGCCGATACTTTAAAACAACCTGCTTATTTTTTTTTGTTTATTTGTATTAAATTAAAATTATATTATTAAATATTATATCAATTTTTATTTAGTAATCCACAAATGGGTGGAAATACAATTGATGAACTCCTTAGTCGTGGTGATAGTGATATATCTATTCAACAACACGATTTAATAAATCAAAAGTAAGTTCATAGAATTTATAATGATCTTCTAGATGCACTAACGTTTAGCTCGAATAATTTGAATAATAGAATTTTAAAATCAAAAACATTTGATTACACGTCTCTGCTAGAGACGTCAAGCTTTTAAGATCCCTCGAAAACTGTATGTACGTTAGGGCTGTAGTAGAGAGGTTATGGTAAAATGTTCAGTTCTATATCATGACATTTGAGGAAGATCTTCAACAAATATTTGTCAACCTAAAATTCTCTATGGGTCTTCATTCTATATACTCAATTTTTTTCTTATTTGAAAGAATATCATGATAGGATGGAGAGCATGACAAAGCTCTTTTCTTTTTTGAAGTCTTACTGTTGATGAAGAGAAAAGTTCAATGTCTCGAAAAACTCTCACTCGCTATTGGTTACAATGAAATATTTTAAAGAATTCTGTGAAGTACGAACAAGAAAGTATAAATAGAAAAAATATTAAAATGGACCTTCTGCTTTTTCTACAAATATCATATTTTTTAAGTAGGTGATGACACAAAGCGTCAGACATTTTTGCAAAATATGAGGTGTCGAATACAAAAAAAAACATGTCATTTAGACAAGATCTGACCTCGTACTATCATCCCATGCATTTATCTTAATTTCGATAATTCTGATGAGAATTAACTGTTTTTTTTATTGAGGGGGCCCTAATGATAGTTTTCTGTATCATTCTTTATCTTTAATTGAAACCTTGATAATAGATTTATAAAATTTCATCGAAAAACAACAAACAAGAAAATGATTATAGAGAATGAATAATTTTTTTTTTTTTTTTGTTGATTATCTAAAACTTCTTGAATAATTAATACAAATGTTTTCGACTAAAAAAAATATTTGCCGACTAGGATTAATATTCTTCATAATTAATGAAAACACTGATCAAATATTCAATTGTTTCTAAGTCAAGATTATGTGCATTTTGTAGGCTCTAATGAGCTATGAATATTCTGAAAAATAGTTCAAATCCTTAGCTTATTACTGCTAAGATATGTAAGATGAACACTTAATTTCTATATTCTTACTAGAAATCATTTTCATCATATTTTCATTTTTCTTTTTTTTTTTTTAAATAATTTAGAATAAGTTCAATTGATACAACAAGTCCTGAAACAGTTACTCAACTAACAACAACATATGGTGATAGTGATCTTGAAGCTGATGTGAATACATTACCAAATTTAAGTGATTTTATTCCAACTGATGTTCTTCAAGCATTATATCAATCACGTGAATGGAAATTACAAACAACAATAAATGAATTAATTCATACTGAACGTACACATTTAAAAGGTTTAAAAATAATGAAAAAATGTTTTCGAGAACCAATGGAACGTTTTCCTGGCATGAGTCCTGTTGAACTTGATTGTATATTTCGAAATCTTGATCATCTTATTGATTTACATAGTAAGATAAAGATTTTGCAAAATAACACGATAATTTTTAACTATCGTTTTGTGCTTTTGTTTTTCTTTTCAGCTCAATTTAAATATGCATTACGTCAACATCGCGAAGAAGCAAAAGATCATGTTGTTCGTCATATTGGTGATTTAATTCTTAAATTTGTAAGAATGTTTTTATAAAATACAAACAAACAAATAAACAAATAAATAATTTTTCTTTAGCTTGATCGTGATAAAGGTGAACAATTTGCTCGTGCATGTGCTTATTTTATTGAAGATCAATCACAAGCATTAAAATTAATTAAAAAGAAAGAACAATCAGCAGATTTTGCATCACTTATGCGAGTAAGTTTAAACTTCAAATTAATCATGCATCGAACTCGAACACTACTTCGATGTTCAGCTTAGATTTTCAGCAAGTACTCAACTTACTTAGACATATTGTCGAGTATATGAGTAATTATCCAAGTATTTCTTGAAGTATACGGACGATGATAGAAGCATTTTAGGGTTCTATCGAGTTTCAAATATTGTTGAAATTTGTGAATTATGATCTAAAAGAAGTTTTGAAGTATAGTTGTCAAAATTTGCTCCTCACCCACAGACTGTGATCGATGCTAGTCAAAGAACATCACAGACGTAACTGTAGGAATGTTCCAGACCGTAGCAGCTGTAACCTTGGAAACGTGACAGACGCTAGTTAAAGGACATCCAGCCCGTGGCAGACATAACCTTGAGAACGTCATAAGCCGCGACAGACGTTGGTTAGACACCATCACATATCGTGACAGATGCTAGTCAAAGACCATCACATATTATGACAAACGTAACCTTGAAAACGTCACAGATCGTAACAAAAGCCTAAATTAAAAGCAAGCAAGAATTTTTAAAACACATGTGTAAACATCCTAATCATAATTCTTATTGAGCATTTTTTATATTCATTCAGAACACATGCCTTAAACACTAAATTTTGAATCTATAAAACGTTCAAAGAGTTTTCTTTAAAAAACAAATTGCACGTTTTCCAGGTGCAAAATTTATCGTTTTAAGCATCTTTGCACATCTTTTATGATGAAACTAACTGATTTTGATGTAAGTGAAAATGTTCAAACGGAAATCACGACTATGATGTTTAAACACGTTTTCAGAAACTCTTATCCGGTTGCCTAACAACACTGCTCCGCCTTCGCATCGCAAACTGTATATCAATAACGTTTCGTTACACTATTTCCTTATCGCATTTCTGAAAGATTCAGTAAAAGGATAATGAAGAAGTATGTCCCAAAAATAGATAGAATAAAACAATCTCTCTATGATTAACAACATCATGTTTCATATGTTAATCCCGTAGAAATTGTGTTAATAGCTTTCATATAGGAAGCCTATATCCCATTATTTTTTAGATCATATATTTCATTCTGTGTAGACTTAGCAGAGATAACCCTAAAATCCTTATCTTTCGGTGAATTTCTACTCCATTTTATTAATCGATTGAAAATAATTTCATTTGCGATCGAACTCAAATAATTCGATGTATGTCTATATCAAATTGTTTTGGTCGTAATAATGAATTGCTTTTCTTTTTTTTAGGGATGTGAATCAAATCCTTTATGTCGTCGTTTAACATTAAAAGATTATTTACCATCGGTTATGACACGTTTTACAAAATTAAAAATGTTATTCGAAGCAATGAAAAAATTTGTTTCGGATGATGAAATTGAAAGTGAAAAATTAAGTAAATGTGTTGAGTGTGCTGATAACATATTAAAACGTATGAATTATGCACGTTTAAAAAAAGAACAAGAAGCTTTATTAAAACAAATTAAATCAAATCTTGAAACACAAATACCAAATGATGATAAATCTATGAATTTACAAAATCTTCAAGTAAAACAATAAAAAAAAAACAAATTTTCCAAAAAATTTTATTTATTTATTTTGTTCATTTTATTTAAAGGATTGTCTTGAAATAACAAATAATCGTTTAATTTATTCAGGTACATTAAAATTATTACCTGATACAACAACACAAAAAACGGAATTTGAATGTTGTCTTTTTACGGATATATTTGTTTTTTTTCAAAAAATACCTATACAACCATCGGAACAACGTGGTATTGATGAACCATATCGTTATGTTTTAAAAGAACATCAACGTGATGCTAATATTGGACGTCATACACGACCACGAGCAGCTGTACCTGGTGCACGATATACTGCAGCACAAAATTTTATTTTAACACCTATTATTCGACTCGAACATTTATTAATTAAGAAGAAAGCATGTGGAGGTAATTATATTTCGAAAAGAAATTCGTTAAAAAATTGAAATTTTTTAACATTTCTTTTTTCATACTATTCAAAATACGTTTAAAGGTATCTTTCAAATTGATATATGAGATTGAATAAAGAACCATATTTAATCGATGTTAATACTCACTTGTACATAAATTATTAATAGATGAAAAAAATATTCGTGAAAATTCTCTTTTTTTTTTGTTTTTTGAATAATCGTCTATATTTATTCCCTCAATAGTTGTTTACAAAAAGATTACATTTGTTTTTTTTAGGTGCTCGCTCGTTTTATGTTATTGATACTGATAAAAAACAATTAATTGAAGTTGAAGCTAATTCAAAAGATGATCTCGAAAAGTACATAAAACATTTTTCTTTTTCATATATTTCAAATTCTATATATCTTTCTTTTTTATTTATAGATGGTTAGAATGGATTGAAAAAGCTCGAAAACCATTTGAAAAATCAAAATCATCTATTTCATCATCCACTGACAAGAGTTTAAATCCATCTATTACTTCTCAATCAGCAGCTTCATTATCATCATCAAAATCAACAACTCGGTAAACAAAAACCAAAAAAGAAAATTTTTTAAAATTTAATCAATTTTTTAAAAAAAATTCTAATTATAGATCAGCAATTCTTGAAGAGCAAGCAAATATTCAATTAGTTGAACCAAATCAAGTTAAAATAATTGAAAAACAAACATTAATTGAAGATACACCAGAATCATTATTAAATGCAATTCTTGAGAAAGACAAAGAATTAAAACGTTTATTACATGAAAAAGAAATGCTTCTTTCACGTCTTCTCAACATTCCTGAAAATCAAATTAATGATATACCAGGACATGTAAGAATCAATCTAAACATATACCATTTTAGGCAAAAATGAGATATATCTACCTTTCATTTTTTACAAGAAGTATTTTTCTGAATAAATTCTTTTTCCAGAGAACTATGTAAAAATCATAGCTCTTTCAACTGACTATTAATTGAAAAGTAATTAGCGAATATCTCACTAACTATACGAGATAAAAATTTGAAAACTTCAAGATAGACTCTACGGCATGAGCCACATCTATGATGAAATTTTCAGGTATATTGTACTTCAAAAAACGGTTTTCTAGAGATTCTGAAGAAGTATTTGCACAGTTTGGAATAGGTTTTAAACTTCTCATTCTGTTATAAGAGTATTTTTTCGTGCTTTGCTACGTTACTAACATATATGTATTCTTTTTAAACTACAGATTGCATTAACACATAAATTGAAACCAAATTCATCATTAGAAGCAATAACAAATGCTGCTAGTTATCGTAAATATATAGCTTTGATTTTTTCTTTTCTGTCTTTATAAAAATGATTTTTTGTTTTAAATATTTATTTAGATAATCAATTAATACAAGCAATAGGTCAAAGACAAAATCGAGCAGCAGAAGACAAAAAAGTATCATCACTTGAAGTTCAGTCATTATGGACACCATTAACTGAACTTGGTGAACAACTTACTTTAGCTTTGGTATTTCAATTAATAACAAAAAAAAAAGAAAAAAAAAAGAAAATTTGTATTTTAATTTTTAGAAATTAACAAATCAACAAAAACAAGAAGGACCTTTATTACGTGAATATCGTTTACAAGTTTCAGATACTGAAAATCCAATTTTACGACAAAATAGTAATTCAAGTAGTATATTTAATGTAACACCATCAATGATTAGTAGAACATCTCAAATATATTCAGATTTAAAAGATTCATTATCAATGTCATCTCTTCATTCATCTGAATCACTTGGTTCAGTTGCAATACCATCACAAACACAAACATTTAATGAATTAATAAATTTTGATCCACGATCACCATCATTACCTAGTGAACAATTATCATCTATAACTGATTTAGACGAAACTATGAAATCACCATTATCATCATCATCATCATCATCAAAACCTAAATCACAACAATTACATATGGCAACAGAAGTTATTGAACGTTATGATGAAGGAGTATTTGATGATGGTAATACAAGTCAAGCAGAAGAAGATGAAAATAATAGTGCTGTTATGGCTGATAGTGACGATGAAGATGAAATTGAGCATTTTGATTCAACTGATAGTATTATTGTTTCTGTTGAGAATGCTCGACAACAATCAAATGATTGTTTATTACAAACAAATAATATTCAAACTAATTTGGATAATTCAAATAATAATTCAACAGAAGCTCAAACAGTTAATTTTGGTAAAATTTATATATTTTTTTCATTAGTTATATAAACCTATAGATTGTAATCAGACTATTAGACCCTTGATTGTATGATCATCTAAAAACATTTTTAGTTATTTATTAGTGCATTAAAGAAACCCCCTTTTCTTTTTTAGCCATTTCTGGTTCTCGAACAAGGTACAAACGATCCGCCTGAAACTTTTAGCACGGATAGAGCATCCAAAAATAAGAAGACACATAGTTCAGGAAAAAAATTTAAAGAAGGTTTTCATGGTCGTTTTTCTCGGAGAAACCATGTTGTCTCTCTAACCTTATCCGATCGAGCTGAACACTGTTTTTTTGAGACACCCTAGACTTTATCTCGGAAGTGATTTTAAACTTTTTCAAAAATCGGTGTGTTAGCACTCAGAACTCTATGAATCTGAATAGGAAATGGTCGATTTTGCTCCTTAAGAATACTTTTATCAGACAAAATTAAAGAGAAGTCATAAGCAGATCCGATGTCATCCTATGAAAAACAAGAAGTGTCTGGATTTAGTAAGTTCTGAATTAAATGAAACTCTCAAAAGTACAACTTCACTCATAGAGCCCTCGGAACTCAAGCAACTCTAAGAACTCAAGATTTGTTGAAATTTAGATAACAAATTTACCGTAACATTTCAAACACATATGACACCATCGGGCTTTGCTTACCGACAAATTTTACACAGCTGCAGTGATATCTTGCATCCAGAAAATCTGGATACTAGAAATGCCATAAGAGATAACAAATATACGATATAACCTTTTCTGTAGATATTCAAATATGAGTATGGCTGTATGTGCAGAGAGAACTGAAATTCATACCCTTCCAAGAGTTCCGTGAGCGCAATTACGCTTCTGAGGGTTTCATGAATTCAGAACTCAGAGACTCTTGGGCAAAGTGGTAGAGCCAATAGTTCTCTGCAAAATGAAATTTCTTCCAGCTCTCTAGGACGTTTTTTGGCCGAGATAGATCAATCTTACGAAGGACATAAAAGTTACTTTCTCTGTTATGTCGTATAGAAACATAATTTTTATGCATTTCGTAAAGTTGATGTATCTCGATCAAAAAACGTTGTAGCGAACTGAAAGACGTTTCATTTTGTAGAGCATTGTTTGTTCTATCATTCTGGATAATTCAAACGGAATTCTAGGACATAAAAAACTTGAGTTTCACTTTTTCAGAGACCCGATCTTTGGAAAACTAATAATTATTTTCATTGTCAAAGATTCTTATTAACATTTACGGCAGTAGAAAAAAGATTGTAAATAAACCTAGTCGAATAATTTTGATAAACCACTGTATACATTGATTTTAATAAACACTGTGTCTATTTTATTTTTTAGACATCTTTGAAGAAGTTTATGACAATGTAAACTCTAATGATCCTTCAATGAATAATGATAATGACAAAACTACATTACGCAATGCCAGCGATGCGTGAATGGTTTTTTTTTTGAATGAATGATGATTTATCTCTTATTCTTTGGTGCTCTCTTTTTTCGCCATGATTTATTGTCTGATTTTGTTTTTTCTTTTTTTTTTTGAAATTCTATGCACATTGATTAGACATTAATTTGATTACATATATATACACTTATATATATATCTATATATCTATATACACAAATACGCTATGTTGGCCTGTTTTTAATACGCTTTTTAACAAAAAACAAACAATTTTTGTCTTTTCTGATTAATGATGTCCGCCGCGATACCATCCAGATCAAAACATCAATCATATTCTGTGCTAAATCTTCTGCTTTTTTGTCAACTGAAGAAAAAAATACAACTAAAATATATTCGAAGAATTTTTTGTGTATTTTTACGCGTTTGCTTGTTCTTCGTCTTTTGTGTATAGTTTTTTTCTTTTCTTTTCTTTTCTTTTGGTTGGCAGCTATGCACATCTTTCTTTCTTTCTACTTTTACTCGCAACGAACCTTTTGTGCGGATTCTCGCGCTCTCTGTACACAAACGGTGTGTGAGAATGTTGATTATTTTGTTTTTACGTTGTTCTTTCTCTCTCTTTTACAAATGGCGGATTGATGAATGTGTCGTTTTTTTTCTTGAAGTATATATATATATATATTTTTTGCTTGTTGCTGCCTTCCACTTTGTCATCAACAAAAAAAAATAAATAAAAGTCAATAAGTAGCGAATCATTTTTTATTGATTTATTATGAAGAATTGAAACAAGACAATACAAAAACAAACTTTGTTTTTTTATTTTTCTTAATTTGGGAAGAATAATAAAGCCTTTATTTAGAATTCTGTAAAGAGAAATTATTGAAGAGAAAAAATAACAAGGTCACCAAAACAGTCGGGAACTTTTAAGATAGGAATGAAATTAATGAGTTTATTTTACTTGTTTTCTTAATCATCGGTTCACAGTGGATAGCAACGTGGACATTTGGTGAAATAATGAAAGTGATATTTTTTGTGATTTGAATAATGTCCAATATACTTTGGTCAATGGACGACTTTTTGATTTAAAAAAAATTCTACCTTTTTAAGGGCTTGGGAAAAAATCCTAGGCTCAAAAAATTGGCCAAGTTTCGGTCATCTTAGAGGAAAGTGTCTTTTTCCAAATAAAATAGAAAGACCTACGAAATAAATCGTAAAGCTTTTGTTGTATCGTTCTATATGAAAAACTTTGTTCTAATAGTGTTTCAGTTAGAAAAAGTAAATACGCTTTCTGAACTAACAGTTTTCTAAAAAGACATGTTCCATGTAGTCAATGCACGCAATTTAGCACAGTTCCAAACTCGATGCAACTTTCACAGAGTGTTTTTCTTTGTCTAATATGTCTACTCAGTTAGCATTAATGCTCATGAGCTGAGATAAAAGTTTTTCGCGTTCTTTGGATTCTGAAGTACTTTAACAGCAAAATAAAGACATATTTGGAATCAATACAGAAAACCGTATCGAATAATGTGAAATTTGTTAGTTTTTAAAATAAAACTTTTTCCAACAAAAGTTAAATGTAAGGATTTCCTCATGCATTTTCCATCGCAAAATGTTCTTTTATAAAATTTACTTTTTGTTTTGAGTGCTGAAATTTAATGTTTCTATGAGAAAAATAAGTTTTTGATAGAAAATAAGTCTTGTCCACGTGCTCTATAGAAATTGTCCACTGTGTGATTCATTTATAGTGCTGTTCAAAAGTGAGAGAACAAGTTAATTTTGATTTTTTCTATGATTCCAAGTATCTAACTAAAGTCAAAAAAGTGACATGGATAGCTTGTGAAGGTCTCTATCAGACGCCTGATATATCGAGGTTTCGTAGTTCGACTGTATGAGGAAAAAGACATTATGAAAATTCGTCACGTTTTTTACGACTTTTCCTGATCAAGTTACAAGCATCATTTATCAAAAAATCGCTAAAAAAATGCATTGATTTTTGTTTTTTCTAATGCTTATTACTACATAAGGGAGATCGTAAAAACGGCAACGTCTTCTCATTTTGCTTAGAATTTTGTACTCTTTCAGATGGAACTGTTGAAAAACGAACTCTCGTAACATATTTTCAACATAGTCCAATATGAAACCTTGATATATAGTGTATCTGATAGAGAATTTCATTGATTAATTATATCATCTATTGAATTTTAGTTAGGTACTCAACATTAGAGAAGAAAAAAGTCAAAATTAACTTATCTGTATAGTTTTCAGCAGTACTTTATTTGGATACATAACACAATTTGAATTAAATAAAATGAGATGAGAACATTTAGTCGGTTAGAATCGCTCTGTTACACACACATTTAGAAAAAAAAATAGAAAATTGAATCGTTTTTTGTTTTATCGGACCATTGGTTTTTGTCGATTACCACTTGTAGATATTGATGGAGCAGATTGTTGTTCTTGATCATATGTTCGTCCATGAAAAGAACCACTATTGTTTATAACTGTTGTTGTTGGAGCTTGTTTCCATGGTCCTTGCGTTGCTGCTGCATCAAAAATATGCTACGAAAGAAAAGAAATAATTCCAAAAAATTAAATAAAATTATTTTGTTCTTTTTTTCAACTTACACGTCGATTTGTTCGCATTTGAGCTTGCCGAAATGGCATACTATCAAGATCTGAAAGTAATAATTCTTTTTGCATACGTTCAAATCTTTCAGCTGCATCATCATAAAGATGATAATCATTAGTATTTTTATTTGATGTTAATAGATTATCCATAGCACCGGAATTATTTTTATTTAAATAACATTCATTATACCATATATCAAATTCTAAAGTAAAGATAATTATTTTGAAAAGAATTTAATCAACCTTTTCTTTTTTTTACCTTGCAGAAGTCGATTTTGACATTGATTAACCAAATTTTGACAATAAGTTATTTCCGATTTAAGATTTTTCCATTGATCATAATCAACACGATAAGTACTTTTAAGCTCTTGTAATTTTGCAATAAATTCATATTCTTCTTCATCAATTATTGTTTCACCATTTTCATTTAAAAATTCACCTTTTATATGAAAAAAGAAAACAATTGAATAAATAAAAAGAAAAAGAAAACAAAATAAACAAATTTTTTACCCATTGTTAATCGTTCATTCTTTTTACGTTCAGCATCAACACGTGTTTTATCAATTTCGGCTTTAGTTTGATTAATACGTCGTGCTAATTCACCAAATTGTTTCTTTTTTGTTGTCATTATTTCTTTATTTTCTAAATAAATTTTATTTAAATTTGCACCTCGTGTTTGTTTAAATTCTTCAAATGCAGCTGCACGACCGGGTGGAGTACTATGTAGATTTAAAAAAACAAGATCATTATTATTCATTTCTAACATTATCACTTACTGTGGTCGTTGATCTTTTGTATCAAGCATGTCACTTGGTTCTTTAACACGTGAAAATTGTTCATCATCAGTACTAACTCGTTGAAGACCAGTACCAGTTGGTTTCAATCCAGGAGGTGAAGATTTGTCTTTAACACTAATTTAATATTCAATTAAAAATGAAAATGAAAAAAAATATTTATTTGATATAAAAGGAACTTTACTTTGTTTGTTGTATGCCTGGTGTTTTAGTTGTTGTAGCACCAGCACCTGTTTGTCGTTTATTTCGTGTCATTTTAAGTAATGCTTCTTTATTAGCTCGTTGATCTTTTGAAGCTGCACCCAAACCAAAATTTTGACCATCAAGATCTCCAGCAGTACCTCCCATACTGTTCGCATTTTGATTAATAGCAAACATCTAATTGATGAATAATTAAATTTTACTTTATCAATCAATTAAAATTCTTAACTATGTGCAAAATTAAAACACATTTATCTCGAGATAACGAATTTTTCTAACAAAATTTCAATTCAAAGTTTTTCTCACCATAGTTAGATTTTTTCAAAAAATTGATTTACTTTTCGTTAGTGGCGTGATGGAGTACGAATTAAATGCTCTTATAACTGAATGAGAAGTTCAAAACCAATCGCAAACGGTATAAATCTTTTTTTAGAATCGTTAGATGATGGTAAGATAAAATCTTTTTTTTGGGGCTTGATAGAATCTCTATAAATTCGGTTTTTTTCAGGATCTGGCTGAAAATTTCATCATAGATGCAGTTCGTGTCATAGGGTCTATCTTGACGTTTTCAGATTTTTGTCTTGTATGATCATAGAGATATTCGCTAATTACTTTTTAATTAGTAGTCAGCTGACAGAGTCAACATTTTTACATATTTCTCTCCAAACAGAATTTATTCAAAAAAAACCCTTGTAAAGAATGAAAGATGGATATGTTCCGTTTTGTCTGACATGACTCATATGTCAGCATAAAAATTAAGATCAATATGAAAAAGTAATATTCATCAGTATAGTAAAAACTATCTCTGTCAGATATGACAAAAACTGCCTATTTATTATCAATAAGAATAATAAAATAAAATTTACCTTTTGATTATCTTGTTGTTCATATTCATATTTATTGGCATGAACATGACGATCGTGATGTTTTTTCTCAATATCTCTTTCTGTTGCTCTAAATATTCTTTCATATATAATTTTCAATCTATGAATTCATTTAACTTACCGACAAATATTTCTGAATGCATTAAAAACAGCTATAAACAAAGAAATTTAAAAAATGTGAACTTTTTATAATTTACATAAATAAAAATCAAACAAATAACAACAAACCTTGTACTTGACGAAGACTTTTTACTTCAATTTCATCTAATGTTCCATCAACAAATCGACGACATTGATTTTCAATTTCATATAATTGTTGTTCAGATATTGGCTCATAAGATATACCGGTTCGATGAATTAATGCATCATGTAATGCTAATTCTTCTCGTAAATGTTTATTTTCACGTTTATAATTTTCAAGAGCTTTTAATGGATCAATAACTTCATTTATAATTGGTTCAGCTGGAACACACATCATTCGACTTGCAAAACGAAGTGTTGAAACCTATTCCAAAAAAAAACACATACTAAAATCATTTTATAATAACTATCTTTATACTGTTTCTTCAAGATGTTGCATTTCTGGCCAAATATTTGCAACCATCACTGTATTACATCGTCCACCAATACTATCTTTTAATGCGTGTGTTAATTTTGAACTACGAAAATTATGAGAATTTGCTTTCTTATCCGATAAATTAAGTACAGCTTGTTCAAGAAATGATAATGATTTATTAATAAATGTTGCTTCTCGTTTCGTTACACCTTCCGACTAAATTTAAATTAATAAATAAAAATAAAAAGAATAATAATAAATTAAAGAAAAAACAAACTAATTTACATTTGTTTTAGCTAATCGTTCACTACCAGCTAAATCAACAAGATTTAATTTTGATATTGTATATTTGTCTTCAGATGATAACATTGATCGACATTCAATAAGAATTGTAAATATACAATGTGAACGAGATGATTGTTTATTAAGTATATGTTGACCAATAGCACGATTGGTTTCACCTTCAAATAATAAATTTAATGCTTCTTCTTCACTATTTGCAATACGATATGATAATCCTTTAACATAAATTAATCCTGAACTTTCACCAATTGATAATTGTTGTAGTTGATAATCTGATTCAGTATTTAATGTACGAAGTAAATCACACATTTGATCATTATAAATTTCAAGATAAGCAATGCTTAGAAAAAAAAACATATTTAAATTTTTTTTTTTCAAAAATAATTTTTATTTTTATTACCGAACAGAATAAGAAACATCTTGTCGAGCATTTATTTCTTGATAAAGATGTTGCAATGTACGAGGTATAATGCCACGATTCTGATAACTTTCAGCGAAGCCAGTCATTGTATGAGTTTTTCCAGCGCCCGTCTGACCATAACACATTATTGTTCCTAAAAAAGAAAACAAAAAAAAAAGAAATTTGATTCATAATTAAAAAAACAAATAATATATAAATAATAGAACAAACCATTGTAACCATCTAATGAACGATCGACAACATCTTTTGCAATAGAATCAAAAATAACTTCTTGATTATCATTATGGCATACACCATCAAAATGAAATGTCCAATCATTGATATTATTATCAACAACGCTTGCTGATGGTGTACGATGAATACTTATTGTCTACAAAAGAGATTTATTTTTAAAAATTAAATACTCACAGTCCTAGACAAGAGCAGTTGCCCTTCATGAAATACTATTGTTCTTTGTGATGAGGAGCTGATACTATGGATGCACATGTATGACAATAAATCTTGATTGCATGCACTAATCCGCTCTCCTTTGGTTCACATGCACTGGAGTTATGATTCAGACATCATCTTTCTCTTGTGATCACCTTATCTGAACCATGAATCACTTTAAAATAATTGTTGAAGAGCAAATACTGTTTTGTTTTTAGTAAGTTGGATTTTTTCTGAGATGATTTTGATGAATTCTATTGAAAATTTTAGTAGGAAGTTTTCGTGAAACGACAAGTCTGATCGGAAATGTTTAGAGTCGCAGAGCTGAATGAAGCCGAGTTAATGCTACGACATGAGTTCACTATCTCCGATCATATTAACTACTAAGATGTGAACTATTTGTGACGGGCTTTGGTGCTTGTGGAATAATAAAATGGCAAACACAATCTTTTTGAACGTATATTTTCGCTGAATATATTTTTCACAAGGGAATGAATTATAATTCTGGTACATGTGAACCAACTAGTAGTAGCACTTCATGGAAGGTAGCGGTTACTTTTGTCTAGAATTGTAAATAAAAAAAACTAACGCGATTATCTCGTCCAATTCCAATCATTTCAGAAGCAAAATTATTTGTTGGACGAGTTCGAACATAAACTTTAACTTTATTTGATGTTCGTTGTGGCATATTTGAAATTTGTTTATCTATTTAAAAAAAAATATATATATATATATATATATATTTCTATAGAAACTAAAGCAAAAAAAGAGTATATCTTACATTATATTTATTTTATTTATATTTCTAAGATTGGTTTTTTAATTTTAATTGAAATAGAATAAATCATGAATCAATTTGATGAAGGAACATATTTATCTAGAATAAGACAAAGTCGAAATAGATCAAAATATATTAATATAAATGAAAATGGAAAAACATCCATACAATTACCTGATGATTATACAAAAAAATCTCATGAATTACGACGTTATTGTCGAAATTATGTTCGTTTTCGAAAAAGTTCATCACGTTCACGTTCACGCAATAATTTAAAATTTTTTCATATACATTCATCAATTGATTATCGAAAAAAATTATTCTTACTTGTTTTACAAATAATTTCTTTACTACATCTATGTTCTATTATTTATTGTCATCAAAGACAACTGTCATTTACTGTGCAATATACAATAATAACAATTGTTCTTTTCAATATTTTAACATATTGTTGTGTTCAATATGATACACAACAAGCAGAACATGGAGAATTATTATTAGGTGAAAGTTCACTTCTATTTTTACTCTGGTATGGAGGAATTATTGGTGGAGGACTTGCATTACTCATTGAAAAACATAAACATCTTCGAAGTCGAGCATTTACCTATCGACTAAAAATAATTATTTTATTCAATGCTACCTGGCTTTTTATTGCTTATGTTTTATACATGTGTCGAAATGAATTCCTATTTATAGAAATTTCTAGTGCGCTATTGTCTCTTGTGGAAGCCCTACATTAATCGTAATTATAGATGACATTAAAAAAAAAGAAACTATAGAAACTCCTTATTGAGTATATAACAAGAAAAAATATTGTACAAAGATGTCGCAGTTAGAAGGTTGTCAAGAAATTTATTTCACACCGGATGTAAATTCAAATGGTTTTATTAAATTTTTTCTAAATAAAATAGCACATATGATGTTTCAACATATTCATATATTGTACTTGCTTTATTGATAGAATTCTAACGAAAAATAAAACAAAGAAGTATATTGAATTACTATGGGCAAACACAATCGTTTATTTTTTTCATCTGAGAAAAACATTCTTATCAGAGTGCATGTAGGTGCCTCGACTGCAATTGGCATTTTGTTTTTCATAAACTATTTTGTGATTGTAATATTATGTAAGAACTGTTACATGTTTATGGTTCATTATTTTCAGACAGCGATTGGACATTATTGAGAATGATACAACGATCCAATACTTGTGGCTATTTGGTATTGTATGAATGTTGTTAAAGTGACTGGTCCTTTGAAAATTGTTAGGTCAATGAAATGAGATCAAGAATATCAATATAATTGAATAAAAACAAACCTTACTGGTCAATCATTGAGTACAAAGTGATCTTTTTGGTGGCTAGAAAATTTTCTATAATAAGAATAAAATATGCATCACATTCTTGTCTTTTCCTATCATTTGTAATAAATTGGCATATGTCTAATTCATTTTGAGAAATATAAAAACGAGTATATGTTTCATTGAATGATCCACTAGTGTCTTTGAGTTCAAAATAACAATATTTTGGTGTGATAAAGAACTACAATTAAAACTAAAACGCTATTGCACATCTTCTCAACTACCATACGATGGTGTTGGATATTTATCTGTTACAAATGTATCATATAAATCAATATTTGTCATATTGTTTTTAATACATTTCAATATTAAATCTTCAAGATGTTGAGATGGACTAATCATCATTTCCATATCATTCTCTATGAGAGTTGCAGTAACTCCCAATAAATTTGTGAAGCAGATCATTTCTGTAGATAATCACGTGTGCATTCGGCCGTCATATTTTGCGAATTTTTCGCTGTAACAAAATCTGTATTTTGTGTTGCGATGATCTCGAAAGTGGAGAGTCAGAAAATATGCAAATAGACGATCTTGTACAGTAAAAAAGTTTATTACAGTCTATAGCAATCAAGTGGATTTATATCTCACCAAATAAGAAGGTATCAAATAACACTTAATAGAACACATCGTTCTAAATATCATCCTCTATCCACAAAGACGTGACGCCTAAAAATTTGCTATATATTTAATGAGATCTGCGCTTAGATTATTACTCGAATTACGGTAAGGTTTTTACTTTTAATATTCATAATATAGAAAAGGTATATAACTTAAGTAATGTAATTTGTTTCAATTTCAAACATAAAAGTTTTGTACGAAAAAAGATTTCCTACAAAATCATGCTTTAAAATCATATTACTAAAACAATTTTCAAACATGAAATATCTATTCAATTAGAACATCTGATGCAGTTTGTAGTACTCTTGCTAATGATATATTAAACAATAAAACTAGCTAAACATTATAGGAATAATGTAGAGCACAAATAGTGCTATTGAATCGTATATCATAACAAAAATTTTGACTTAGAATAGGTGCGCAATAGTATGCAAAAATAAGTGATTGAATAGTTTTGGAAGAATGAAAAACGACATGTTGTGATTCTATCGTCAATAAAAACTCAATAGATCAATGTATTGATCTAAAACTTTTACTACTATACTAGAGACTATGTAGACTGTAATCAGACAGAAACCATATAATTCTAAGATAAAATTATCTACTACGTAGTTGAATAATTTTAATATCTACTGTATACATTGATAGTCCAAGGAGTGTTCTATCATTCTATAATATTTCACTATTCTTCATTTAGTGTGATAATAGAAGAATTTTAATCAAAGCTGTTCATGTCGGGATTTTGTTAGATAAAAAACATTTTCGTTTCTACAATAAATTCCATACTAACCTATGTATTCAAGCGAGAGTTATTCATGATAAAATATATTTTGTTTTTTGCCATTCACCTCTTAGAATAACTCAAAGATGATATTGAATAGTTTCGTGAAGGTCGAAAAAGACGTTGAAGATGAATTAGTCGTAATCTATTTTAAGTTTACGTTGATCGAAGATTAGTCATCGGGCGGTGCTATGATTGAGATCACATTGTACTTGAAATTCGTCAATTGTAATATGAAGGTCATCATTAATAAGATAATGAATCTGTTTGATCTTATTGGATGTTGTTCGATGATAGATATGGCGAATCGTGCTCTATCTTCAACATCTTGTCGACCTTCATGAAGCCATTCATATCATTTTTCAACTGTTCTGAGAGATAGAGCCTGACTGTCGAAAATAAAATATAGTGCAGTACAAAGTTAAAAATCTAGAAGCAAAAGTTTTCCCTATGCAACAAAATCAGAGATGAACAATTATGATCGAAATTTTAATATTATCATAGCAAGTAAAGCACGGTGAAATGTTACAGAATTACAGAGCATTGTTTGAACTATCAGCACATATATATATATAAAACTTCCTCGAGTCTTCTGTGATGTAGTATAGTGCTACTGCCACTACTTTTGATACATCCTAAGTGTGTTATCTAATTCATTCACATCCGAAAAATATTAATTAACAACCAGTAAATCTTCTCTATTCAAAATACGTATATCCAAAAGTATTTTTTCAAATGAAAAAGTGATTATCAACGATATACAGTTTTACATTCATTAAAATGTCATCCTTCACAAATACTAACAAACCTTAACTCATCATGATCCATAAAACAACTTATTTTTCTCAATAATGTATTCCTTCTCATTATTCTCAAAACTCATTCATAAATGGAATAACAAATAAAACAAAAATATACATCGTTCAATATACTTTAACAATAATAAATCCATCAAATACACTGAATGAATCAAACATCATTAAATATTTATTTAGAAAATATTAATTCAGCACAACTTATTGCTGAACATGATTATTATGATATGGAGAATATACTTAAACTTGTTGTATGGCATATAAAAATAATTAATTCAATGAGACAATTATTTCCAACATGGTTCAATGAACTTAGCTATCGTTGTATATAGTGTTTTAGTTACGATCTCGTATCTAAACCACAACAATTTATGACACATGTTGATGATGAACAAATGACAAATATACAGCCATTAGATATGACATCTATATAATTATTGATATTGGAAAAAAATTTTCTTTAGATGGAATGATTTTTGTACTAATTTAACTAATTATGCAAAGTAAATCAAACAAAATTTATATATTCCGTTATCTAATAGCTGAAGAAGAAAATAAAGATTATTATTAGATGTGATGTGTCTTTCAATGACAATTTTACTATTATTTTATGAGTGTTTGTCTAAAGAATCGAATTTCTTCTTACAACAAATGATTTTATACTTTTGTAGGACTCACATTATGTATTTCGAAGAAAAATATAATGAGCGTAAGTTTTAAGTCAAGGGTCTTGCGGCTCTCCTCTATCTTCTCATAGCAAGGAGGGAGAGAATGACTTGGGTACGTTTTCATAGTAACGGAAAAAGACACAAAACTTAGATTGTTCTAACATATTTCAAAGCCTTGCCTTAAGATTTAAATGGCTCAAATATATTGCTCAATGTTCTAGAAATGTTTATACAAATAAACGATTATATCAGGAATATCAAGGATGATGATTAGTGATGTATTGCTTTGTCATAGTTATTAGGTAGATATGTCATCTATCCCGCATGGATGGTTTTTGTTTAAATGCATTACATGCATGTATGAATCGTAATACATGAAAGTAACAAAAAACATTTTTATATGTTAAATTATTTTTCTTAGGTAACAGCTATGTTATTATGTAGTAGTAGATTATATCACAGCCTATCGGGTGGCTTCGTAACCTAATCCAGGAAGATTTCTTGTGCCTGTTATGACGAAAGCAGTGTAGTACTCGAGAAGATCTACTATGTTCGTAGGTCTCTGTCGTCGTTATTGTACGTCATACCTAAGTTCATTGTCCTACCAGTCTGACGTGGTCTGCTCTGCGTGTACCCATTTCAGGCTTACAAGGAGTCTCTTTGGTGGCGCGTGCGCGTACGCGATAATGAGCCGAGAAAATTTGGAAAGGGAAGTGAGTAGTAATCAAAATCAATTTATTGAGCAAGCAAGAAAAAAACAATTTACAGTTTCTTTCGAATTTTTTCAAATGTTTCTTTATAATCCAAAAGGTGAGGATGATTTGAAGGCAATTTCACTTGAGCAATTTCTACTGCTTGTTGAACATTTTTCATTGCGATATTGTATTGTCGAGTAGACAAATATAATTTAGCAAAATTGTGATAAATTACGGCTAAATCTGGATGATTTTTAGGTAGTTTCCTTTCACGTATTTCTAGTCCTTTTTGAAAATATGTCAATGTCATTGTATGATCTTTCATTTCTCGATATTTTTCACCTAAATTTGTATATGTCGTTGCACAGTCCATAGGATTATATTGTACATTTTCTTGAATATTTAATGCTTTCTGATGAAATGAAAGTGCCCTATCATAATGACCCATTAATCTATGAATATCATCAATATTACTATATGCTATTCCAAAATTTGGATTGTTTTCGGGTAGCATTTTTTGATCTATTGCGAGACACTTTTCAAAATAATCTAGTGCCCTTGAGTAATCTTTCATATTACGATAAACTCTTCTGAACCGAGGGGTGTCCAAGGACTGAGAAATAGGAATTCCTACTCAATTCCCTGACATTTCCTTGAATGCTAAAATTACAAAAATACAATATCCACAGTACTTATTACTCTTACACTCGTTTTCATCAAGAAATTTGTGCGCATTAACGTATGAATACGAAAATTATTGCAAAAAAAGCATTATTTTGACTTTCATGAATGAAGGAACTTTGATGGAAATAATGGTCAATTCCCATTTCCCCAAGGAATTATCATAGCTATACTGACAATTTCTCTGCAGATTAGGAATTCCTATTTCTCAGTCCTTGGACACTGCTGACTTGTTGACCATGTTTCATACCAAGGAGAATTTCTTTGAATATTCGAGTATACATGAAGGAAGGTTCTAGCTGATTAAGATTTTCACTAAAGCCTTCTTCATTCACATTAATAATACTGACTGTTACTTGATCTTGATTGCACTGTTTGACAGCTACTGCCAATTTTTCACATATATGTTTGATTGACGTATGGACGCCTGTAATTTTTGTCCAATTTTTGGCCCATGCTTCATGGTGTTGTTTGTTGCTACAAAATATGCATATGGCATCCAGTTTTAGCATGCTATGAGTGCTTAGTACAAGAGGTTGTCCAAGTGCACTGGAAGAGATAACAAATGATGTCTCCTTATTGTTTTCCTGGAGCTTCTCAATACATTGTTCAGTCGTGGTGCATAGGGTGACTTCATTAACGACACCGCGCAATTGTGCGAGTGTATATTGGCAATCTTCGTTTGCCATATCAATATTGCCATCGACCCAGATGACCGAGTAATTTTTAGCCATACGTCGTCTCTGTCCCGTGATATTCAATGAGACTGTTGTATTTTGTTTGGATTTTTGTCCACCCATTTGGATGTAATATTTCCTGTTCAATTAGCAACGGATTATGGTGAATGATCGATAATTGTTTGGACAGAGATTACCTGTTCTATTTATACATTCGATGTCTAGCTATTTTCTTTTAAAGTTTTTCTACGACATCAAATGTGGATGTGTTTTTTTCGTTGACACTTAAGGATAAACTCCACCTAGTTGCAATTGAAAATATGGTTGTCAACAACAAATAGAAGCGAAAAAAAATTCAACAAGACCGTTTATTTTTATAGTTATTCTTTCCAACTTTCGTTCGCTTTTCATCTATACAACTACTTACATGTCAATGCGTTGGATACCTTGTCATTGCTTTTCTCTTTCTGGCAAGAACGAAAAAAACCAACAAAGACATCGCCAGTTACGACTTTTTTTAATTTTAGTTATAATGGACATTATGACAATGTGAATGAAACAAGAAGAACAAAAAATTTTATTTTCATTGAAGCAACAAGCGAGCAACAATTTTTTCTGCCTTGTAAAATATAGTATATATCATTAATGATTGATTCAAGTATAAATAACGGTTCTCATTGTGTTTAATTTCCCAACGACATCTATTGTGCCTCATAGATACGGAAGTAATTACGAGTTCCGTTATTCGAATTTGAAAATCATGGAAAATTGAAGCACCTATTATCAATTCAAAAATGAGTGAAGCAGTTCAATATGTATTTCTATATAGATGTGACAAATAAGCACGAGGTTTATTTTAATCATCATTGGAAAGATTATCACTGGATAACATTGCAAATTTGCTACCCCCTTAGATCTCACTTTCAATAAAATAGAGATATAGAGCATGAAATTCTGCACGTTTCTGTCTATTTATTTTGTCTGTCTGCTGAAGCCAAAAAAACCCACACCCACACTCACATCCGATCACACTTATTCGTAATGTCCAAAGCTGATAGACTCTCTACGACTATTTAGCCTACAAAAAGTTTTGTTTAACTTCAGTAAAACACGAAATAAATAGACAGAAATGTGTAGAATTTCATGCTCTATTTTTCTATCCAATTGAAAATAAGATCTAAGATAGTGTTAGATTTACAATCTTATCCGATGGTATCGTTTCTGCAGAAAGTCACGCAAACTTTGACCGATTAGGTATTTCAATAATTTAAGAGCTACTTACTTGTAGTTATGAACTTTAGTCGTGCCATGTACTACTAAACAGTTCTAAGTCAAGCTCGAATCAATATTCAAAATAAAATTAGCCATTCATTTTTTTGATGGTTCAATAGGATAGTCATTACCTGAATTAAAATAATAAGTGAGAAAGAATTTATTATTTGCTTTTGGCTGTTGGCGTCATACGTGAATACGAAATTTTCATTTACATTCGACCTCGTATGAGACAAGTACTGCTATATTCATGCTTGTTTCAGTATGATCAATTTTGTCTTGAGAGTATGTGAGTGAGACTAGTAGAATGAATATAACATCACTGACAATTTTGCTAAAATGATTTTTGATTTATTTTATATTTCTTCGAAATATGTATTTAATAAAAAGAAATTCTGTTTTCTTATGGTATTCTAACTACTCTCCTTGCATTAATTTCTACAATTCATAAAGAAATAGTATTCAAATTATGCTTCTTCACATTTGAGATTCACAGAATTTAAACGTGTGTCACACTAACAACGAGAAAAACCTGCCCTATGCATACATTCATCACTAGAATTATGTTTATAAATATATTTCGATACAAAACATATTAGGAAACATCTGTTTTGCATGCATGTGAAAGAGTCACCTATATTTGCATACAACTGACAAATAATGGAATGTATCGCCGGTATTTTTTTTCAACTAAAATCGACAGAGATATTGAAGATACGAATACTGTTTTTCTTAATTCAAAAGTAATAAAAACAAACCAACATCATTATAATACATGTCTTTGCGTAAACACTGAAGTTTGTTCCGCAAACAAAAAAAATCGATCGTAACGTTGATTTCATGATTCTGTTTGATTTCTTTTAAAAATGCATCTATGATAAACAAGAATGGTCAATAAGAAAAAGTATATTAATAACTAACGAGCCAATGAAACAAAAATGCATACTAAGGCAGTTGTATTATTGCTGTCATTGATGTTTTTCTTCTTTCATTTGTGTCTGCGCAGTGAGTGCAAATGTGAAGGTAGAATATGTAAACAGAGGATTACTGAAAAAAAGTAATATTGTATTTTTCTTCCTTGGTCACTTTCTTTCGATGTGTTAACATCTTATCGAGAGCTTTTTGCCAATATCTGTCTATGTTCTTCTGTCGTGTTAACGAGTTTGAATCAATTACAATGCATTGAAAATCAATTCATTGTTGTTCATTACATTGCATTCATTTCGTTCCACTCTATGATCACTGAATCACAAGTATCTAATATCGCGAAAATCTATAGACTAAGTATGATTAACATCATATAGAAAATATCATGAAACTCGAACGAATGTTCAAGCATTGATTTTCTCTAGGGCATTTCCTATTTTTTTGCTGTAACAAGAACATTTAAAAATTTATCATAATGTGAACAGAAGCTTTTCCGTAAGTTTTCTTAGTTTGCAAAAATGTATACATTGAAAAATGAAGACAATGATGGTGAAGAACATATTGATAAGAAATGAAAGAAAGATATTACCGAAACTTGAATTTGGAATAAAAAAGTTTAAAAGCATAGACTTCATGTTTCTATATGCGTATGCTCCTACTCGGCTACGTCAATAGAGTCGAACCCGAAAAGGAATTCATTGGCGATCTGTATCTCCTAGTTGGTTATGGTGACCTAAAAAAAGAAGCCGACGATTATTCAGAAACATACAGAAAGAAAGTTAGTGAATAACATAGTATTCAGCTTTTCTCTTTAAGATTCGAAGGCAATAAGATATCAGCATGGGATGCTATGCCAAAAATTTTCATCATAATCAACAATGGTAACACAGAGAGTATTGATAGATGAACTGTGTCATCGTTTCTAAGCAAAGAACTCGAAATACTACAATATGTCATGAAAAAATATTTAGAAATAAGAAGAATATCCTCTACTAACCTTAGTGAAACTATCACATAATATCATTTTTTAAATGAGACATGAATGCTGTCTTTTAACAAGAAGATCTTCATGTACTATTGGAGTCTTTGAAGTTCTACAAACAACTCTAGACAAGGAGACGATCGAGAAGACTACATATACGGTAAAATCAATTTACAAGACAGATAACTATGAAACATTTGTAAAAGTCATAATTTATCGACATTAAATACCATTTTGCATGATAAGGTCATTGACGAGAACATTTAACATAGTGTGAACAACACGATGTTTTCACGACTGCTGATTCTTAACTTAGGTTTTTTACAGCTGAATGTCAAAAAGAAAAAGTCAACGCTTACGCTTTTAAAATAGAAAGAAAAGATAGATATCAATGATAACACAATCATTAGAGCAATATTGATTGATAGAGAATGACGAGAGTTAGAACAAATATTTTCAGCAGTATCACATATCCACGACATCGGCGACCCAGCAGATGCAAAACGATATAGACGATAAACAATGGTACTTATCAACGATAGATAGTTTCGCATATCTCACATCTCACTAGGTATATCCTACATTCCTCAATTCCTGGATATATAATACCTTTTACTGATGTGAACAGAAGAGCAATACTTCTGAGCTTCAAACAGTTGTTTTTGAATAAGAAAAGAGAATAAAGAACTCTCTCTTATAATGTTTGAAGTATAGAAAAACCTTTGTTCTAATAACGAACATTTAGTTTCATTATAAGATTACACGTACAACGCAGCGGGAGCAAAATCTTAGTATTCAACGAAAATTGATATTTGATGGGAAGAAAGAGTTAAACAGTATCAAATATTGCTTGTTAACAAAGAAACGTTACAGTAGCTTAAATCTTTTAGCTGTAAAGAGTAATACTTGGTAGAAGAAAGATCACAGCTAGATAGTATTCAATTTGTTTAAGTAAGATTTATATGTTGAAAAGTT